TTTTTCGTTAGTAGAAGCATTCGTAAGTAGAGGTACCACTGTACTTTATTATTAGCCAGAGGAGGATTCAACTGGCCACTGTATAAACTATGAGGCGGAAAAGAAAATTGTTACAGGCTATAATCAATAGTTATAGTAGAGATGATTGGGTTCATGTAGATGTGTTCAATGTTTTCTAAATCAATAAATAATTTTTTAAAAAAAGAACCCATCATCGCTCAATTGGAATACTTTTGCGTTCTAAGCTAGCAAAGCCCTTACTCCATGCCACTCTTTGGTGGATTGTGGGTTTTCTTGTATTTTAAGTATCCGGTCAGGATGGTATTGTGTTTTAAATTGATTCTGATTTGAATTCTATGATAGTTTAATTCTGTTTTAAGGGGTGGGTGGGTTAGAAGTGGGAGGATGGAATAATAATAATAATAAATAATAATAAAATGTATTTATATACTGCCCAATGGTTGCCCAATCAGGGCAGTTTACAACATAAAACACAATTACAATAAAAAACACAATTCACCCCCCCAAAAAACATTATTAAACTAATAACATGAAAAAATCCATTAACAATTAAAACAGAATAAAATCATAATGATTAAATGATTTATTTATTTGTTTTAACTGGCTGTATTTTTAATCTGTTGTACGCCGCCCCGACTGCCGAGCAGAGGGGCGGGTTATAAATAAAAAATTATTATTATTATTTTTATTTATTTATTTATTTATTTTGGTCCCGGCTCGGCCAACTCCTCGGTTTGCTGTTCCCAAGGTGTCTGGGTGCAAAGGGAGAAGGACTCTCAGTCCTTGGTCAGGAAAGAGAGGGGCATAGTGTAGGCACAGTGGTGGCAAACCTACGGCACGCGTGCCAAAGGGGGCACTCAGAGCCTTCTCTGTGGCACGCGTGCCGTCGCCCCGGCACAGAGTTTGCCAGCGTTTAGTGCTAAAACGCCAGAAGGACCAGGCACTTTGGGATCAATAAATGGGTTTTGGGTTGCAGTTTGGGCACTCCGTCTCTAAAAGGTTCACCATCGCTGGTGTAGGGGGTTTACAGAGGCCACATACTCTGGACCGGAGCCTGGCATGGATGGGGAAAGGGAGAGATTTTAACTGAAGGACTCTTTCCAAGAACTGAGCCAGGGGTAGGCAACCTTTTTTCCCCTTTAAGGGCCGAGGGACTTC